AGATGTCACGGGCTGTCCTGAGGTTATGATGTGGTGCATAACATTGCTGGTTATGCACGGGAGATCGTTAGATGGGCAATTCAGTTCCGGATATTTGTCAACAATCGGTTGAAAAGTTGGATCGAGGATTGCTTTCATCTTAACGATTGACAAGCTGGGGCCTACGTAAGTTATGCCTTTGATAGACAAACTAGTAGTGTTGTCAATTAGTCGTTTACGGCGGACGTCTACGAGCAAATCATGATGATTAAGTAGGTCCGTGCCGATGATGGGCATTGTGACGTCAGCGATCAGAAAAATCCACCGAATAGGTTTGCGTAAACCTACGTTCAGATAGACGTATTTCCGACCATAGGTTGCAATTGGTTTTCCATTTGCAGCCTGTAGGTTGAGGTTAGGATCCTTCTGTCGATCTGCTGCTGTAGCAGGAAGGACGCTGACTTCGGCGCCTGTGTCGACCAGATATCTAGTCTGGCTCATTACATCATGGATGTAAAGTAAGCGGCTAGTGCCACCGGCGACGGTTGCCGCTAACGCGTGCCGGCGGGATAGTTTCCCACAGACTTGGAGGCTTTGCCGAAATCACAAGGTTTTCGACAACATTTTGCTTCCTTGCCATAGGTGTTGTGATACCAACACCAGTCAGGATTTTTGAGAGAACGTGTGTTGGACTTAGATCGTCCACGTACGTTTAGCCGTTGAGGGGATCTAGAACGACGGTTTGAGGAATTGCTAGGCTTGTTTGACCTAAGCATCTGCTGGACGGAGTTGATTAACTCTATCATTGCAGAATCCTTCTTCGAAGCCTGTTCGGTAACTGGCCGTTTCGTTATCTCTAGAATTCTATCTGCAGAGACAGCTAAGTCATCTATGAGAACACCCTGAAGTGTCACAAGTACAGTCTGAACTGACTGTGGCAGTTTGGATAAAAATAGTTCTCTAAACAGTCCTTCATCGAACTGCCTTTGGCCAATGATCTCTTTCATTCTTGCCAGCATGCTCACGGCTGACTTATCTCCTAACTCGATGTTACGAAATAACTCATCCAGACGTTGTCGATCTGTGAGAACGTTTCTCTTGAGGATGGATGCTTTTAGCAACTCGTACGAGTTACTTACCGACATCTGCAGAGTTACGCACCTGCTGAATTCCCGCGGTAGGGCGTGAATAACTGCAAGGAACTGTGAACGTTGATCAGTTATGCCATGTTCACAAAAATCAGACTCAGCAATCTGAAACCACGTTTCAGCATTATCTGGCCAATATGGTACTAGCTGGATTGTTTTGGCGGTTGAGCGAATCCGAATAACCTTGGGGCTAGGATCACTCATGACGAAAAGTATGCCGATAACAATATAGTACAAGAATAAACACAAAAAGGAACGAACTCACCGGGTTTATCTGCGTGTGAATTGAAGATGTAGTTCGTGGTTGGGCTCACCAGTTTGGTGGGCAGTAGTTCGTGGTTGGGCTCACCAGTTTAGAGGGGGCTGGTATCGAACGTTCGCGAGTTGTACGGATTATACTAACGCAAGATCTTATACCAACAACCACTATAGTGTTCGTTCTTCGAGTACCAATTGGTAAAGCAAAAGACCAGATTTTGTCGTCCAAATACGATATATATTTTGGGACCAAATCGCGGGTAGGAATGAATGCTTAGCTAGCTAGTAATCGTGCACGCACGTGACACGACGGAGCACCAAATGGCGGGGATGCTTGACCGTAAGCCTTCAGCCAAACAAGTCGACTTAAACAGTGATGGTCAGCATCCAATGTTGAGTGATGATTGCTGTGGTTAATAATTTTGGGGAATTATTTACCGCTACAAGTTCTTGCTTTCATTATTATTGCAATGTAATATACTGTAGAAACAAACGAAAACATTTTGAGCTTATCTAAAGAAGACTAGTTATCTCTAAGAATGCAAGGTCCAGGCAACACATCGCTTATTGCGGAAATCAAGAGATACTTATATATTTTATGTACACTGTTATTCCTTATTGTTAGCAAAGAAACAGAATCTTCCGATTGGTTGTTTTCTCGCTGAAAGTTATTCTGTCATCTCTTTGTGGCCGTTTCTTTGAAGGTCAGACCAAATATCTTTGAATCGTATCTGCCCACGCAAAGTCTGCTGTTATTGGTTGTTGAGTTAGTCTTTGTTCTTGCTTTTTTCTCATGACCAAGATTTGGGAAGTAAACATTGACGTAAATTGCTGTCTACCAGTTTTGGCTAGCAGACAGCTCTCACCACAAGAAAAAGTCCCATCCACTGCACGTGAATACATTCAGGGACTATAATTCTACAGCGAAGAATATGCAAAGAACAGAACATTTCGAAATTGAGTTTATTGGGATTTGAAAACAACTTTCAAAAAAGACACAACATCGTCAAAAACTTTAATATTCTGTCAATATAATAGTACAAATTCAACACTGAATTATTATTATTACCGTTCCCTTGGGTTCCGAACGGAACACAGGGCTTCAACAACACATCTCCAATTGGTTCTATTTTCTGCTGTCCTCTTCAGTTGGGCCAAAGTTCTTCCACAAAGGATTCCTCAGTGTCTTCAACTTTGCCCTGAGGGCTGCAGTGAAGCTATCTTTTGTAGTTTCATCTTTCAGTTTCCGAGTGTTGAACTTGAATTGTGGTCTGTTTCCAGTTGTTCTGAAGGATTTCAGCTTCAAATTGAAGGTCCCTTGGACTAGGTGATGGTATGAGCCTACATCTGCTCCTCTTCTCGACTTTGTGTCAAACAGGCTGCGTCTCCACTTCACTGAGCAACATTGAGATGAAATCTATCTATTTTGTGGTGTGTCCGTCAGGCGAAATCCATGTTGCCTTGTGTATATCCTTGTGACTGTACACACCGCCTCCGATCACCAAATCATTGAAAGAACACAAGTCTGCGAAGAGTTCTCCATTGCCATTGATTTCTCCAAGAGCCTCTCGGCCCATGGTGAGTCCTCTTCTTGTATTATCTGCTCCCAGTTTGACATTGAAACCGCCCATAAGGATTTTGATGTCACCATTCGGGATATTGTCCATTACATTTTGTATTTGTCCATAAAAATCTTCCTTCTACTATTGTTCCCCGTTGTGTGTAGGTGCGTAGCATTGGATAATTGTGACCTTCCTTCCATTTAAGTTTAGTCTTCATCAAATAATCCTGGAGGAGATCGGTTCCCACCACATAAGACCTTCGGCTGCTGTTGGTGACAACATGATAGCCACTCATTGTTTCAGTGTACTCATGGTTGTCTTCTGGGTGACCGGAGTAGATTAGTGACTCTTCAGTTGACAATTTGGCTAGTCAAAATCCATTCCATCTGCCCTCGCAGATTCCTAGCAATTCTATACCATATCCTCTCATTTATTTGGCTACGTGGGCAGTTTTCCCAGCCAGCTCCGTACATTGCACATACATTCTACGTCCCCATTCTTACTTTTCACTTTCATCGAGAGAAGACACATTGTCTGAATGGCTTTCATCCACTCGCCATGTCATTTAGCCTGTCCAGTTCCAGAGAAAAATAAGTTCGTTCTTTATGTCTTTTGTATTTTTAATATGTTTCTTGTGCGTTCATATGACTGTAGAAGTTTGACTGATTTTGTGGTGTAGGGTCACTAGTCCCACGCCTAACACTCCCTCTTTTCTCAGGCTTGGGACCGGCTAGAAAACTGGGAAGCTAGTAAACTGGGTAAGGTTTCCGACACTGTGGTACAGTATAATCCCATCAAAGAGTTAATTACTTAATGAAAACACAGTGTTATACAGTATTGTTTACTGATGACGTTTTGAGCACAATTTATTGCACATAATCATATCAAGGTACTCACACAACTATCTGAATTCGTTTATATACATGAGTAAAACATTGACTAGACACATGAGTCAGTAAATAAAGATTGATATAAATTTCAGTAGACATGCGTGAAATAGACGATCGGAAAATAAAGTACATTTGAAAATATGATTACAGTAAGATGGTAAATAAGATGAGTATTGCCAGTAAAATAAATAAAATGTTAGAATGTAATAACATAAACTGCAACAAAGCAAAACAAAAATGGAATACTATTTCTTATCCTTTAAGTTGATTGGTAGTAGTATTTTCTATAGCTCTGGTATTGGTGCTGAGTCATTCCTACTGCATGTATTGAGTGTAGATTCGATGAACCTCTCTCTCTACATCATTACTTTTTAGAATTGTAGCTCTGTCCCACCTTGTTGTGTGGTTGTGTGTTAACGCATGCAGTGCAATTGCTGATTTTTTTTCTAAATTACTCATCTTCGTGGCAATCATTCCACAATTAGCTAAATTCTTATGTTCTGATAATCTGACTACTTCTGATCTACTGGTTTGACCTGTCTAGTTGACCTTACAGTCATCGCAATTGATATTATTTTGTCTAATTGGGTCAAAAGAGTCCTGCAGCCTACAGAGCTTTTCCTTGAGTGAGGTTTTCGATTAAAGTGCCACCTTAATTCCATCTTTATTAAGAATGCCACGTAGTGTTTCAGATATCTCTTCCTTATATTTGGTAAAACTCTACTCTGGTTGCCTTAAATTTTTTTCTTATATATGTTATCGTTACTAGTTTCACTATTAGTTTTTTTTGTCTTATGAGCTTTCGTAATTTTCTTAATGAATTTTATTGGATAGTTATTTAACATCAATGCTTGTTCTGTCTGTTTCATTCTGTCACCTAGGTTGTTTTCTTAATGTACTACTTAGTGTTTTTACTCAGTTATTCTTAAATAGGGTATATCGGATATACAATACATTCAATTGCAATTAATATTGATCGTCTTATTTTAAAAACTATCGATCAATAGTCTAACATAGATTCATTAATATATGATAACTTTAACAGACGATGGAAGTATAAATTATTAACATTACAACAATTTGAGAAGAAATCTTCAAGTTTTTACATGAATATATATAAAGTACTAGTATCTAATTGATAGTATATAATATATATTTCAATTATGTGTTTACATGGATGTTGTTCAAATGAGAAATGTGTTGCTATTTTAGATCAACATAAAATATTATCACCACTTAGTCGAACAAATTCAGCTATATATTCTGGTGATTGTATATCATTATTATCAAGTGATTATAATGAGAATTATAAAGATAATCCAATTAAAATTCATCCATGTACAAGGAAAAAACCAATTAAACTACATCAAATTATTTATTGTCCAATTGAACAACAAATATGGTCATGTGAAAGTGAACAAGATTTATCATTATTAAATACAAGTGATTATTTATTTTATTCATTAAATAATGAAAAATGTTTACTGTGCAATCAAATAATTGATTCATTACTAATAAATCAGTTAGATAATGAATTATTCAATGAACAATTATTAATCAGAGTAAATAATCCTTATGATCAAATTAAATATGAATGTGATAAATGCATTCATAGCAAAAAAGAAGACAATAATATTATCAATAGTGTTACTACATGTACAGATAAGAATTTATCTCTTTCAACAATGAATATTTTAAATGATATTGATATACCAACAACACTGACAACTGAATTTCCATCGAATATTTTACAAATAAACATTAATGATAAGGATGATAATGTGTTATTAAGTCAAACATGTGAAGTAAGCGATGACAATACACTACTTAAAGATAAAAAAGTAGTAAAAAAGCAGAAATTTCTAACAGAAAAGTTAAACTGTTTACCAACAACTCATCAATCGATAACATTAAATGCTAATGGTCAACCTTGTAATACTTGTTGTACATCAACAAGTTATGGTTTAAAATGGACAGAAATAGAGAAAGAAAATGTTTCATCAGATTATTATATTAGTGATTTAGGTGATATATCCTATGATGAATGTCTTAAAAAGCTGGATATCAATCAACCAAAGTCATCAACTATAAAAAAAGATAAATGTAAGTGTTATTGTCAAGTTGTTCATTTAGCGGATAAAAACTCCACAAAAGATAGCATACCATCATATCATAGACACTTCTTGCCTACATCAGTTGTGCAACAAAAAACTGTATTTATTGTATCACCGAATCAATCACCATCTGTATTATCCTCATCATCAATGGCGGCATCATCAACAACAACATTATGTACTTCAACTTTACCAGATTATTCAGCTAACTGTTTAGAAAATTCATATACATATTCATTAAATTCAAATGAAATATCATTGGACAATTTTACTGATAAACTACACACATTACGTCATCAGGTAGTAAAACAACACCGATTAAATAACAATATGACATTGAACAATTCATCACAAGTAAATCTTGAAGTAAGCAAATCAACAGTATCTTATCAGAGTGCAAAAATATCTATTTTATTAAATGATAAATTATATTTTGAAGAGGGGGAGAACAAATTGTTATTACTACCACCAGCATCACTGTCATCATCATTGTCGTCATCATTATCAACATCATTTGAAGGTAAAAGTTTAATTCACTGCAGTGCTGAAATAAATCAACCCATATGTTATCCGTTATTTGAACAAATTATACGAAATTCAACAGTGTTAATAACTTATACAATCTATAATATAGTAAGATATAATCTTGTTTATATTTTGCCTCCAATTTTCAGTGAACCACCAGTTGTTCATTTAAATTATCAACGGATTCATTCAAAAGCATTAAACAGTCATTATGTACAAACATCACCAGTGAAGACACCTTTATTATTAATTAAAAAATATCATCAGAAATCTCGAAACAGTAAGGTGAATAGTTTATTGGAACAATCCAGTAGTAGTATAGTTTGTAAGGCTGATAATATCAAAAAGCGTCCTGCTACTACTAGTAATACTAGTACTGATATAACCTCGACTTATGACACCACAACGACTAGTACTCGTCTGAAGAATACTTGGGTTAATACAATGAACCAGTATGAATACAATATGAAGTCGAGATTATCAGCAGTGACTAAATCTTATCATGGGGATCATCATCATCAACAAAATTCTAAATATATTAATGAAATACAAACTACGATTAATTTAAAATCAATTAAACATAACAAAACACTACATTATAATAATAATTTAATCACACTTTGTCATCTTGATATGAATGATAATAATGTGATCAATATAAATCAATCTCAATATCCTAATTCATCAATTATCCTACCGTGTATTTATGTCGAAGTATCATTATATCGTGATTTAGATTATGTTGCATCACCGATCTGCTTAAATCATATGGAAGCACGTTTAATATTTACATTACTTGAAAGGAAACTACGAGAAGCAGTAACTAATAATTCTTTAACAGAAAAGTTGAGCGAGATTAATACAAGTCTAGTGAATTCTTCAAAATTCTTTAAAAATAATAAAGGCGATGAAGATAGCAATATTTCTTCTTTTAATGATACTGATAATGTAAGTGTAATATACACAAGGAATGAGAAAGGAGCTTTAGAAAAACGAATTATAAAAAATTATGGTGATGATATAAACAATCCAATTGCTTATTATAATCGATCAATTAGTACACAAACATGTTTACAATTATTTCATAAAACTAAGCATACCAATAGTACAGATGTTAAAGTGCTTTCAACTTATCAAAAAATATTCAACGGTTCCTATCTATTCACATCTGGACCAAAACATGTTAGACCACCGAAACAATGGTGGGATCATATAAATAAAGTTAAAGTTCAACCAGAATTTCGTTGTGTAACAGCATGGAAATTAGAACAATTAGATTTAATTGTTGGTGGTTTAATTAACTATGAACATCATTTACAGTTAATAGTCAGCTCAAATAATGGTAAAATTGGTATTGTTTATGCACAGGCATTATCATTACTTATGGATATAATACAAAAAGGTATCGGATATTTATCAAGTCCAGGATTGAATTCAAAATCTTTAAAATGCAAATCTGATGGGCGTGGTATATGCTTTAGAATTTATTTAATATCACCTGAATTAATAAAACTTTTAGCCTCAAACATTGAAGATATGTCATACATAGTTGGGTTAAACAATTTGCAATTAGGTATATGTTTATTAATAAAGCCATTCAATTATGAGTGCATTGCATCATTGTCTAATGGAGATATATCTAGGCATCATAATGATGCTGAAAAATATCCTGTCTTATTGTATACAAAATCAAACATTGATTCGATTGATCAAGACTACCTGGGACATATTACTGAAGGTATCCGACGTTTGCGTATCTTATGCGCAGAATTAATTAATTCCTCCAAACTGCTAGGCTGTTATGATGTTATGCCAGTTGAAAGTCTTGATTACCTAATCAATTTAATGAATCAATCAAATTTGGAGACGGAGAATAAAGTTTCCTTAACTAAAAAGTATTTAACTAAATCATTAATTAATGAATTAAGTGAAAAGGTGACTGATTTTCACAGTACTCTAGCTCATTGTATACGAATTAATGCCTATTATCCAACTATGCCATATCCTTATGCTACTGATCCACAGGTGTACAATACTTTTGAAAAACTATTCATACCAATTATTATGGAATATTATTCAATGAATCAGTTATATCATCCATTACAGTCAGATTATACATTACCTTGTCATAAACCAATAATAAATAATCATTGTAAAATTAAAAGTTATCGTATACAATTTACTAGAAATATTACTGGATATGGATTTCTACCAATGTTATCATTGAATGAATTGAAAACAATTGAAAATATCTGTAAAAATGTATTATTATCATGGAAAGAACAAGGCGTAGGCAAATGGTATCCACTAGATGAATTTCAAGATAAACATCCAAGATTATATACAAGTTTATTAAAAAAGAATTTAATTCTATTAACTAATGATCCTATCAGTCAAATAACTGGTGTTTATCGTTATTGGCCAGAAGGTAGAAGTTTATATATTGCGCCCAAATCTTCTACAGACATTGATTTAATAGTACAAATTAACGCTAAAGAACATTTACGCATTATCTGTTGTGATTGGTCTGGTAAATATCCTTATAAAATGTATAAATGTGCAACACAATTAATGCAATGGTTAGATTCACACTTAAATTTTAGTCGACATGTAAATTTAGGCTATTTAAATCCGTGTCTATGGGATATTGGTTGTGCTATGCAAATAAGTGCTAGAATAAGATTGACAAATTTACACAAGAATAAAAAAGACTTGACAAAATTATGTAATGAAAATGAATTGAATGTACAAAATGATAACTGTATTTCTATTGCTACTACTGCCACAACTACTTCTAGTGATAATAATAACAGTTATTATTATCAATGTTCTCGTTTGATTAATGACAAGTATCAAAGAGTTCATTCTTCTCCTTCACTAATTTCGTCACTTCCTACTTCATCAGCGCATATTTTACACTTTGAAGCATGTAAAACACTGGGTAGAAATGAATCACAAGTTATGTGTTCGTTTTTACGATCAATTAATAAAATTTGTGAATATGACAGTAGATATTCGGATCCACTGAAACTACCTAAAATAATGAATGATATATTTTCAAGCAGATTTAAAGTGAAGTGATATATTACAACATTCATCAGTATGTATTATAACACGCTTTAAATTTGTACAGAAAGACTCAAATGTAAAAAGTGATAGTCTTCCTGTTGAAGTTACTAATAGTTGGTCACAACCATACACTTCAATGTATATTTGTTCGTTCAAAACATTACATTCAGTACTGAGAGAAGTGGAATATCATTTAAAAAGAAGAGTGGTAGTTTTTCTTTTCTGGGAATTCAAGTGAACATTAATCTTGTGAAAAACAAACATTAAAAGATTAATGGTGGAAAGAATGCAGGATAAAAATCTCAGTATTGTTTGATATGAAATATTGTCACATTGAACAAAAAAAAACATTCATGTGATCACAATTTATTTTGACACGCAATATTACATTGTTTTATAATTTCCTTAATTTATGAATCAAGCATTTCAAAATTAACCTATTCTAACCTGATCAAGAATATATATAAATAGTATATTTGATATATACATATGTAAATGTGTAAAATATTTTGCGTAAAAAATGTCAATGGTTGAACTCATTGTTGAGAGTCGAAATCAGCGATATTTCTAAATATAATTCCAAGTTATTCTTGAAGTCTGATGACATACATGCACCTACAGTGGAACATAGTAGAGACATATTTTAGGCATTTCAGGTAGTATCGTAAATTGGCCATAGGATTTAATTATGTGCTGACATCAGTTAGAGAAACAGTGGAAAACCTAGGAGTACTGGACAACTGTTTCGCCAACCTAGTTTAGGACTCTTCATCGGTAAATACCCAACGCCAGGTTTCGAACCCAGGACCTTCGAGTTACAAGTCGAGCTCGTAGAACTTTAAGCCACTGGGACCCAACCCAATAGCCCATGAATTCTAACTTCTACCAATTCACGACATAGCGCGACCGCTAGCCATTGTCTTCGGCGAGTATTTGTCCTCACACCCGACCCAATGGTTCTCTAACTGATGTCAGCTCATGATAAAATCCTGTAACTAATTAATCAAATCCATATAAACCAATACCTGAGTATCATAAATTGTCTTAAATCAGGTATGATTTAATCCGTTAAAGAAGCGTGTTAATAGTTATGAAGTGCTTAAATTGTTCCATTTTTTCCAAGTGCATTACATTTAACATCAAGGCGACAATAATTCTTTGTTAAATCTTTATGAACTTCATGGAGTCCTTTTCTATACTGAAAACCCAATCAAATGTCTTGCTGTAAGCCGATATACTTGTTGAGCCTACGCTAGTAATTTTATGGATAAACTAATCAATGCCTTCCTATCAAAACCTTTAGAAAAGTTATTTAGAGTGAAGAATAGGAGAATGAACTTGTTATTTCTTAAGTAATGACTGTATCATTTAAGAATATACTAGTGACAAGTCTTTCATTTTAGGTAGGTTTGTACTGAACAATCGGTGGGCTGGTCTTATAACTTACACTTTCTAGGTTTTAACTCTGGTGAATTCTTCGGTACTTACGAATAAATAATGGCAAACGAGGGTGACGTAACTGTTCCCTGTCCCTTGGTTTTCAAGGATTCTCTAAGTGATATCGGTTCGTAACGAAATCTACATGTAGATTAATCAAAGTCTTTACAAAACACGAAATCTGAGATATCTTTGTCACACTCCTATGCCTTCATTAAATAGAAGTAAAGTAAAACCAAGCAGGATGACAGGAAAAAGACATTTTAATTAATTTCAATAATATTGCTAATTAGACAGTAGGTTACGAGAGAATCAGAGATAGTCAAAGGTAATGCTTCGTATAAAAAATAAAGTCATTCTGATGGTTTCCTTTGACATTCTTTAAACATGGGCAAAATAGAAACATATAGGGGATTTACTATCTAATAGAACTATTACAATTTAACTGTGACTTTAACTATGAAATTTAACTTTGAAAACAGGAGGAACTCAAAGTTTTTGTCTAAATAGTGGAAGACTATGCAGAGATTCATCTGAGGCTTCCATTTCTGAGATGACACAGTATGAGTCTGTTCTCGTGAACCTCTTAGTGTGCAGATTCGGAAAGCTGGCAACAAGTAATCGATGAAACAATGGAAAGACAATCTGGTCCTCACTGTAGATGGCAAGTGTTGCGGTTGATATATCTGCTAGGTTAGATGAGAACAGTTGTGCAGAAGGTGAAGAGGCCACGTGATCACTGAATGTAGGCTGTTAGCGGCATAATCTGCAAATGAAAGGTTGCCAGGGCTGAGGAGGTAGAATTTATTCTGCTTGTCACTGGATGTCAAATTCGTAGAGCATGTAGTTCTGAAGGCTGCAGAGAGTTCCATCACTGACAACCGCATACATCAAAGTAGGTCCTTAACACATCAAATAAGTGCACGATAAAAGCTAGTTGTGAGTATTCGAAGTCTTTAGGTGAAAGTGCATCTGATCTTAATAACTGTAAGACTAAAATATAGTGATGATAAAGATATCAGAGGATACGAGTTTTCAGATAACGGTTCAGATACGACTGTTATTGCGCGAAATAACACATAACTGTCACGATTATCATCATGTAGGATGAGGACTGCAGTCATAATGTTCAGTGAAGCCGAGGTATCGAGCCAGGTAGTAAAGCCTTCCCACATCGGATGCATATGATTATGTAGCTATTAAAAAGCCCCTTTTTTTAAAGATCCTACATTGCTTAGGCCAGGCAGACCCATCTCGGAAGGTGTTCTGAAATGACCACACCCTACAGATGTGCTATGGAGTGAGCAATACGGTAATGAAGTTTTGTTACTAATCAGGTGTGACGTGCTTGTAACCAAAGGCCCAGGGCAGGAAAAGTTCAGAAGTCATCAGAACTCTGTTGGGCTGGGTTTTTCTGAGTCAGTGGATTATAACAAGTATAGTGGAGAAGCTGTAAATTTCATCTGCCGCTTTTGTGATAAAGACTTAGGAATGGATGAAATGAAGGCGACTGAAGTAGCGGAGAGAGGAATACATTTTAAAAATTGTTACCTTCTAGATCCTCTCCCCTGGAAGGTAGAAACATCCATTGCAGCTTTTAACTTTCATTCAGGTAGACGAATATTGGAGTTTGTAACGCCACGTCATGGGTTAGGGAAGTTTTCATGAGGGTTACGTCAAAGCTGTGTGGCAGAGTATTGACAAAGGACATACTGTGAAGGTTTCCACGCCACTGATTGATCCTGACTACCATTGGCGTTGGTATTTATTACACCTTGAGTTGCAGAATCCCATAGAGCATGTTGGTTATTGTTGGTTCCGGATGTTACTGTCAAAGTCGCATGTGAGTTTTTCAATGACTTACCATATCAAGGTCTACACACAACAGCAGACTTACATGGTGTACAGTTGAGGTTTTGCAGGGGAATGGTAGCTTTACCTGAGGGTGTGGAAGAGATGTTTGTGCATGCCGGAATTCTAGAGCCTGACCGTCGTACAGCGAGTTTCCTCTGGCGACTGAAGGGTGCTATACTGAGTTAATTAAATACTATATGACATTACGTCCCTTGGGTATAATATTACCACCCTATTGTGAAGACTTTGTGTTGCCGAAGATTGCGAGGTAGCAGATTCGGTGAGCAGCAACTTACATTTCGAAGACTGGCTTGGGTACCTCCCACATAATGAAGCTACGACAGGGTTCGTGATACAAATAAATGAATTAACAAGAAGAGGTTTTAAGATGAAGCAGCAGAAAATCAGCCTATAGTCTATAAGAGATTTCTTTTTGAACTTTGTTGGTTTGGAAATAACAGTTGACCTAAAATCGAGTCAAGCATACAACCAAAGAGCTTTAGGCAACGAATGAGGCATGGTAAATATATATATTTCGATTTTGTTGGTTTTGACTCAGATGTAAAGTCCTTGACCAGTACAGGATTGCGGTCTACCATCTCACCACTGTTTGACCTGCTGGAATTAGTTAATCCTACATACCAAACAACTTCTACAGAGTTTTTGCATGGTGCATATTGCTTCGGACTAACTACTTAATACAAGTGCCGTATATTTTTGCCGAAAGGCGGTTCGCTTTCTGTACCTAAAGTTGTAAGGGAAAATTTAAGGTAAAAATTGGAGAAAATGGAGGTGCATTTGTTTTATGATGCCTGTGAAACTGATGATGGCGCTGTCAGTTATTCATGGAATGTGCCAAATAACGATACTCTGCATAGTGTCTTGCCACGTGGCAATGCTAGTTTCGTACCCACAGAGCCGGAGGCTGTGCCCAGATTAGAATTAGCAGTAGCAGTCTTTAATGCACGAACAGGGAATTTTCAAAATTTAACTCCAGACAGATTCCATCATAGTTGCCTGGAACACAGATATCCAGTTCAGCTGCTCTGCGGGAAACTATCCAGCCTCTAATTACCAACCAGTTTTTGCGCACTAGTGTTGACACGTCTGTCTGGAAGAATGTCCTGTCGACTGGATTTCATTTGGTGTATGGGAAGAGTTCGATTTTAGAACCTGGCTCAAAGGTTGCGCACTTTCAAAGAATGGGACAGCCAGGATAAGTACTCCAATACAGGCCATCTAACATTGAAGAAAATAAAGACAATATATTGTTTTGGTATACTGAGAAGTGGGTGACGAGGTAATAACGAGGCGACCAAAAAAAAGAGTTGCAGAAATTGTCAACCACGATGAATGGTGCATTACTCTGTGTTACTGTTGGGCTAAACTACTCATGTAACTAGGTCTCCTTCAAGCATCTGGCAATTTTATTTAGTTTTCACTTTGCAATATTGTTAATCGTTTGACACTAATACCGAAAAGAAGGACTAACATGCATGACATGCATGAACACTATTGGGTGTCTGAGGGCTCCAGCGCCTTTTGGTTGAGTGACAGATAAGTGCACGTAGTTTAGACTCCTAAAGGTTAATTAAGGTCAGCGAATGGTGGCAACTACCCGGGACTGTTGATTGAGGAGGTGCTGGATTTTTTTTCTTTCGTGTGAGCCGAATGTTTTGGGTCGCATTTTGTTCACTCTGGGTAAAATGCAGCGAAGATAT